TTACCATATGGATTAATCTTAAAATTATTATCCTAATGAAATTAGCCAATCACAGAAGACACATATTATTCTATTTATAGAAAATGCCCCAAATAGGCAGATGAACAAAAAGTAGATTATAGTCACACACCACGTTTCAGACAATGACAAACCACATACACAATGGTAGTCCTTTAAGATTATGATGCTCAAGTTTTATTGTGCCTTTTCTATGCTTAGATACGTCTAGATACACAAATACGGTTGTGTTACAACTGCCTACAGTATTCAGTACAGTAACCTGCTGTAGCCTAAGAGCAATAGGCTATACCAATTAGCCTATGTGTGTAGTAGGCTATACCATTTCGTTTTGTCTAAACATACTCTATCACGTTCACATAATGACGGAATCAGGAACAATGTATTCTCAGAACATATCCCTGTCGTTAAGCAGTCAAGATTCCAGGAGCTGGTGCTGGCAGTGTTGGGAAGAAATGGGGAATGACTGTTAAAGGTTATAAAGTTTCTTCTTGGGTTAATGAAAATGTTTTAAAATTGATTATTAGTGATGGTTGCACTCTCTTTACACTCTTAAACACCACTGAATTTTATGCTATAAGTGGTATGTTGCATGTTATGTGAATTACATCTCAATAAAGATGTTATAAAAATCGGGATTATTATAAATTATGAGGTTGATTTAATTGCATGGCTTCTATTACTGATAGCCAACAATATTCTGTATTTACTATCATACTGTACTGAGTGATTTACATATCTTAGCTCTTTTAATTCTTACAACATCCCTGGTTAGTAAGCACAGCAAAATGTGTTAGGTACAGGATTTAAAATTTGGGCCTGTCTGAGGCCAAAATTCACCCTTTCTCCTTGTTTCTTTTTAAAAAATTGTATTCCTCTAAATAGTTAATGTACCCACACATTTCATAAAACAAAGTGACATAAAAGGCACACACCCTCTCTCCATCCACCATCTTCCCGCTCCCACAGGTGCAGCTTGTATTAGCTTCTTGTACATCATTCAGCATTTCCTTAAAACAAAGCACATATGGATATACATTTTTATTTCCCCCTCTTTGGCAAATGTAGCATACTATATGCATTGTTCAAATATAGTATACTATGCTATGCTCAAATATAGCATACATTGTTCTGCACCTTGCTTTTTTCACATCTTTTTTCATAGCTGAGAGTACACGGGTGCCTGGGTATACCATAATTTAATTTGCTATTCCCTTAAAGATAGACAGTTAAGTTGTTCCCAAGAAGCTATATTTTGAAATTGCATCCAAAGGCAAAAAGAAAACTCCTAAGAAATGCAATCATTTTAAAAATAAATTCCTTTCCTCAAAAATGGACTACTTTGAAAGCGATAACTCTTTTTAAAATGTGTTGGTTAGTAAATATTTGTTAAATATCAATGCAATGGTTTAAATGTTATATCCCCTCAAAATTTGTGTACTGAAATCCTAACCCCCAAGGTGATGGTATTGGGAGGTGGGGCTCTTGGGTGGCGATCAGGTCATGAGGGTTCAGCCCTCATGTATGGGATTGGTGCTCTTGTAAAAGTGGCCCCACAGAGATCCCGTCCCACTTCCGCGAGGTGCATTACAATGATTAGAAGGCCATTTGTGGGGAAGTGGGCCCTTATCAGACACTGAATCTGCTGGTGCCCTGATCTTGGACTTCTCAGCCTCTTGAATTGTGAAAGAGAAATTTCTGTGGTTTATAAGCTACCTAGGTTATGGTATTTTGTTACTGCAGCTTGAACATATTAGATAATCATCAACAAAAAAAATTAAATGGATTACACCAGAGCGACAGCCCCACGTGAACCATGGAAAGATATTCCATCACTAAGGATTAGAACTGTGATTCAAAGCCCAGGGATTTCCAAAAACATTCCAAAATGTTTGTACTTATTCAGCATATTGTTTCTGCTAAATAATATTTACAGAGATGAAGAATCAAATATTCATTCTTGAATCATCTATTACCCCTATGGTGAACTTCTACATGATATATATGTTAAACTAATCAGTTCACTTGAGTGGAATGAAATTCTAATATTTTTATTATAGCAAACCTAGGCCCAAAATATTTTAACTCTAACTGGTGTTTAGAACGTCTATTATCAGTCATAAAACATAAAAACAACTTGTCAATTTTCTTTCCTTTTTATTTTTTTAATTTTTATTTTTTTATTTTTTTTTTGAGACGGAGTTTCGGAGTTTCGCTCTTGTTACCCAAGCCGAAGTGCAGTGGCGCGCTAGGCTCACCGCAGCCTTCGCCTCCTGGGTTCAGGCAATTCTCCTGCCTTAGCCTCCTGAGTAGCTGGGACTACAGGCACGCACCACCATGCCCAGCTAATTTTTTGTATTTTTAGTAGAGACGGGGTTTCACCATGTTGACCAGGATGGTCTCGATCTCTTGACCTTGTGATCCACCCGCCTAGGCCTCCCAAAGTGCTGGGATTACAGGCGTGAACCACCGTGCCCGGCCTTCCCTCCTTTTTATTTTTTTTAAAGAAACTATTACTTCAATAAGGCTATGGATTTTCTGAAGGATGCCTGACATGGTTTGAGCATTAACATGTGAAGAACCGGCTCATTCCTCTAATCCCGGCAGTTTGGGAGGCTGAAGTATGCAGATCACTTCAGTCCAGGAGTTTCAGACAAACTTGGCCAACATGTCAAAACCCCATCTCTACTAATAATACAAAAAATTAGCCGGGTGTGGTGGCGCACACTTGTAATCCCAGCTACTTGGGAGGCTGAGGCATGAGAATCGCTTGAACTTGGAGGCAGAGATTGCAGTAAGCCAAAATTGTACCACTGCACTCCAGCCTGGGCAAGAGAGTGAGACCCTGTCTCGAATAAACCAAAACCAAAATCAAAAACAAAACATGTGAAAAACAAGCAATAAAAAGTGTAATATCAGCACAGACAAAATATTCAAGAGCTCGAGAACAACGCTGCCTTCCAAAGGGAACTGAATGAAAGAATTAAAAATGTACAGCCTTTCAAAGCTAAAGAAAGTGACAATTACTGAATTGAAAAGGCTGAACTGAGCATTATCTTCCCAGAACACAAATGTATATTTAGCTTAATAGACCTAAGTACTATCTTAAGAAAAATCTTATATATTATGCATCTAGGGCAACAAGAGCTGTAGAAATGATTCTCCAAAGCAAACACATCGCAGGCTGACACTAGCAGAGGAAGAGTCAAAGGCACACACAATGCATCACGTGTGAGTTTAGGCCTCATTCTATAGATTGTCACCAGAGGGAAAAAATGAGCTGCAAAAACCACAGACACTAAACAGAACCTGGGAAGAACTTTGCTTGTGGTTGAAGCTTAAAACATATGCATACTTGCATTTTCTGATTATAATTGTAATATGAATTTGAAGAAGATTTGGGAAATACTGAAAAAATAAGAATTAAAATCACCCACTTATCCCACAATTCAGAGAGAACTATTAAAATGGTTGGCATATTCACTTGCAGTCCTTTCTTCTATTCATATAAGAATATATGGCTTTTACAAAATTGGGCTTATATTATACACACAATTTTACACATGGCTTTCCCCCCACCTTGTATGACTTCTTAAGTACTTATATTCTTTGAAGATATAATTTTAATAACCGCTTTATTTAAGCAGAATTACTTGATTCTTTTCATATTGCTGGACCTCCAGTTTACGTCTAAATTTTCTGTTTTCCAAACAGCACTGTGATAGACTTTCTTATCATAATTTTCATATTTCTATCTACTTCTTAAAAGAAACTTAAAAAGTATGTCAGTATTTCACATTCAAATTTAAATCATTCAGTGTACCAGTACCTATAAATTCACCACTGGAAGTCTCTAGGGACAAAATGCAAATAATGCATATGAAATAAACAATACTATTTTATTATCCCTTGAAGTCTATATTTATCCTTCTAGAATAGTCATCTTTCAGAGAACACATTATTTCCCAATGGACTATTATTAGGTTAATCTAAATGCAATAATGAAACTTGGCTGACCCAGATTTCTCCAGTATCAGTATGCACGTAATTACAATATTCTGCAGAATGACAAATACTCAAGGCTCTCGAAAATACATATTTTATCATCCTTTCATTTAAAATGATATACGATGGACGCTAAAATAAAACAAATAAAGGTTATAGCCAATGAAGGTTGATAGCAACCAAATCTTATGTAGACATTGAAGTTACATATAGTGTAACTTAGAGCTTTCTTCAAATTCTGGCTTTATTTCGTGACTTCCACAGTCATCGGGATCTTAAGTGCTCTCTTCGTATTGAAGTTATTTATAATTCCTGTTAAGAATTATATACTCTTCTTAACAGTCCAGTCCTAGATTCACTATGGTCTATTTTAAAAATTATTCTACTTACAAGAAGTTAAATGGGGTTCTCACAATCTCTAAAGTGTGTGTGTATAATACATTCATGTATATTTATACATATCTAAAATGTTTTTCTCCCACTAACCAGTGAAAAGCAAAATAAAAATACAACAAAAGTTATACTTATATCACTGGCCATAGTAACTACAGAATCACTTAAACTCTAAAGCCCCCTCACAATTCAAAGCCAGGTAAAGACAGCTAGAGCTGGACTGTACAGTCATGCAGGCTGCACACCATACAACTCTAGTGAGTGCAATCGTACCCTGATCAGTGTGACTGATATTCTTTGGGGTTGCGCAGTATACAATCCATCCAGCTGTATGTGATGGCCTTGAAGTTAGCTCAGATAATTCTGTTTGCTCATCCATTACTTATTTGTAAATCCTTCTCTCTAGTGAGCTACGACAAAAGTTTTTGGAGGGAAATAACTTTTAAATCTGTATACTTTTTTCTATGAAGAAAATTCTGCGAAGAAACAATGACAAATCTCCCTGGCTCCCGTCTGCCATATTAGTAAGGTATTCTTTCTTCCCATCTCCCCTTCCGTCCACCCATCAGGAAGCAACAGGGTACCTTGTGTGAGTAACTGTAGATTTCTGACTTCTTCTCGCACCTTCAGCCGGAGCACCTGTTGTAAGATGTGCTGCCGGAGGTTCTCCTGGGCAATCCCCATTCGCTCGAGCTTTTTGTCAGTAAGTCTCAGCAGGGCTCGCCCTGCAGGGTTTTAAGAAATAAAAGGAAAAGCAAATGAACTGCTTGCTGAAGAAAGATGTCCATTTTGGTCTTAGCTAAGCCTGCCATCACAGAAGTTTCTACCTAAACACAGACATTTTGGAATAAAGGTCCTCCATTATTATTGCTGACATAAATGGATTATCTGGATGAAAAAATACACGTATTTAAAAGAGAACCCTAACTTTTAATTGAACATTGGGAAACCCCACTGACTCACACATCCAGTTAGATTGGGTGACTCACACATTCAGTTAGATAAAATAGGAAAACCTTAACCTGGATATTTGGGTCACAAATTGGAGGTTTCCATAGAAACAATGCTCTTCTTTGGGGGATGGATTCTTAGGCTGGCCCGCAGGAGGCCAAGTCACTGACAACCCAGCTGAAGAACCGGATGCTCTAACGGTGGTATATATAGAAACTCTAGCAATGTGTAGCACAGGATATAATGACATTTCTGTGAAACATGCATTGAAAGTCCAGTTTTAATCTGCAGGTAATTGACACTCCTGCTGTGCCCCTGGCATTGGGCTGGAGGTTCTATCTCTAGTGGGTGGGAGCTACGCCTTAATCCCAATTATTGGCCGAACGCAAGGGGCCTAGCAGGTCTGAGAGGGATAATAGCAGGGTAAAACGGGCATTCAGTGGGGCACGGTGGCTCACGCCTGCAATCACAGCAATTTGGGAGGCCGAGGCAGGTCGGTGGCCTGAGGTTGGGAGTTCGAGATCAGCCTGACCAAAATGGAGAAACCCCATCTCTACTAAAAATACAAAAATTTAGCCGGGTGTGGTGGTGCACGCCTGTAATTCCAGCTACTTGGGAGGCTGAGGCAGGAGTATCACTTGAACCCAGAGGGCGGAGGTTGCAGTGAGCAAGATGGTGCCATTGCACTGCAGCGTGGGCAACAAGAGTGAAACTCCATCTCAAAAATAAATAAATAAATAAATAAGGACATCCAAAGAGGGCAAAAACAAGGCACCTCGAGGTATGAGTGCCTGCAATGTGCAGACACCCTGGGCTGTGGTCAGCTGGCATGGCCTCCCTTCAAAGTTTATTTCCCTACATACCTCTCTTCCTAGTGTGATTTCTATCAAATTCTCCTCCACTCTGTGCTTGCCCTAAAATAAGCTTATTTCTTGTTTGAGCATTTACTGCAAGAAATAAAGAGAGTGATGATTGCTAAATGCCCATAGCACGACCCTCTACTCTTCTCTGACATTCCTACTCATCGCATCTGCCTATCTTTTCTCATTTCCACAAATGAAGAAAAGACAGAGTCAACAACATGTGATGAATGATGTCTTTAGGTGTATTATACACATTTCACAAGGAGACAGGAGAACGGAGAAGACCAGTTAGCAGCAGTTTGTGTTGTTTATGCTTCTGGTTTCCTGCCTTTTAACCTTTGCTAAGGGCATTAGTCAGGATAAGTTAGTTTATATGCTGTGGTAAAAAACAACCCCAACATACCAGTGACTACAACAAACCTCACTTCCAGTTTATTCTGCATGTCAACTGCAAGTCTGCCCATCTTGAATGCTGCTGATCAATGTAACAGAGGGAGAAGAGAAGGTGCTAGAAGATCTTCATGCCATCAGTGCTCAGTCATTTATAAATCATTGGCCAGAACTAATTGCATGAACATTTCCACCCACAAAAGAGCCACCAATTGTACTTCCAACATGTGCCCAGAAGTGAGATATTTAATAAGCAGCAATGGTGAGAATTGTACTAATATAGACGTGGTCCTGGGCTGATGCCTGGAGAGGAAGTGTGTTTTTGGATGTGTGCATGTTTGCGGTGGTTGGGGGTGGAGGTCTGAAGCTTCAGTGGAACCTGCATTTGTTAGGGGAATCCTATGTAACTAGAGTTCAGGCTTGGCAATACCAGGCAGACAGTGGTAATCATGAGAATGAAAAGGAAGGAAAGGACAAAATCAGGCTCAAGTAATTCCCATTGCCTTCTCTGGTTGGTGGACTAATGGGTCCCTAAAGATGTCCATGTTCTCATCTCTGGAACCTGTTAATTTCCTATCTTACACGACAAAAGGGACTTGCAAATGTGATGAAGGTAAGGAGGATCTTGAGATGGGAGAGTAGCCTTCATTATCCAGGTGAGTCCAGTCTAATCGTAAGGGTCCTTAGGAGTGAAAGAGGAGATGGGAGAGCCAGAGAGAGAGATGTGACAATGGAAGCAGAGGTCAGAGTGAAGTGGCCAAGAGGCAAGGAAATCAGGCAGCCTCTAAAAGCTGGAAAAGGCAAGGAAATGAATTCTCTCCCACACCTTCTAGAAAGCAGCTGCACCAACATGCTGAATTTAGCCCTATGAAACCCATTTTTGGAGTTCTGATCCCTATAAGACAATACATTTGTGTTGTTTAAAGCCATGGGAATTTGTGATAATCTGTTATAGCAGCAGTTGGTTTTGTGACTTGAATTTACATGTTTTTAAGAAGTCAAACAGATGGCTTTAGATTTCCTTCCCTTTCCCCATTTCTGGCTGCTGGCATACACAAAGGTAAAAAAGTAGAGGAGTGCTAAGGAATGGTGAGCCCGAGTGCCAGGCTCACAGGACAGTCCCACAGTCCAGTGCTCTGCTCACTGTCTGACCTTGGTCCAGAAGTTTCACTCTGGAAACAAAGAATGGGGCTTAAATATCATTTATACGGATAACTGGCCTCCAAATAACAGACATCTACCTCTTCATACATGTCATAAACTTACAAACACTGCATAAAATACCCTCTGAAGCTCCAATGACCTTAATCCCTCCCAACATAAAAATGTAGATCACCCTCCCTCCTTTCTGTTCCCAATTATCTGGGCTATGGTTTCACATGCTGTGGCATTTCCTAGCGAGACTGCAGAGGCACTGGTAAGACACACAGCTGCTTCTGTCTTAAGCTGGCTCGGCCATCATTAGAACACAGTGTTAAGGCATCAGAGGGAGGGTTTTATTCCAGGGCACACAGCTCAACTTTTCTTTGTTTGATGCCTTCCTATAAACCTGTAGCCCCAGCCGTTCCATAAATGCATCTGATTTGTCAAGGTATAGATACGTAGCCCTACCAGAATGTTATTTCTACTTTGGTGGGTTAATAGCATTGGGTTTAGAGATATGAGTCAGAAAATTCCATCAGTTATAAAAAAGTTATACAAGTCTGTTCATTTCCTTTGTGATACAATCACGCTTATGAACATTTCACATATTAAATGCCCAACTGCTCAAATTATTTAATCCCAATCCTGAGAACATAATTATTTCTACTCTGTTGGAAGAGAAATTGAGAAGTTAAAGAAAATTTAAAACATGAGAGCTTGTCCTAATTTTTCCCACTATACATTCAATTGTGCTTTGTCTTCCTTGATAGGAAAATAGAAAGGTTGCTATTCAAGAAAGATTAACATTTATTTCAAAATTTCCTGATAAAATCACTTCTAGGAAAGATCATGATCAGTACATCAAAAACCTTAACAAAATCTGATTCATGGTCTTCCTGGGGTATTTTCTACAGACTGGTGGTTCTGGAAAACTTTTGTAATAATTAAATCATTTCTAGGAACAAATGTCCCGTCAATCTCCTATTCCACCACCTCCTGCTGAATACAAAATAAATAAATGTCCAAATAAGTGTGGTACTGTTTTGATGAGGTATCAGGGAAGTGATAAGTAAGCAATCAATCAAATTATTTTATAATTTATGTTAATTTTTGTTGCTTATCATAAAATTCAGTTGTTAGTTCAACAAACATTTACTGAACACTCACTATGCCCCTGTTACTTTGTCACTCCCCCTGGGTACAATGATGAACACAGGAGACAGGGTCACTTTTGAAGCCTTCAGGCTGACAAGGAAGGTAGCTCATGGCAAATGTCTACAGGTATGTGACGAATGCTAAGAGAGGCAAATATAAGAGTTAGGAACGGGGTAATCTAACCTGGTCTGGGCATCAGGAAGGTGTTGATGAGTAATGGACACGTAATGTAGGACTTAAGGAGGAAGCAAGAATTAGACAAAACCTACTGATAGAGCAAAGATTTTTTAAAAGTTGCCATATGAATGAATAAAGACAGGGGCTGCTATCATAGACAGACAACACAGGAGCACCATCCCAGCTTGAACATTCCCTGCCTCCTCTCACAGGAGTCTCTTGGCCATCTTGATCTGCAGTCCTCTGTCAATACAGAGAAGGATGAAGGAGTGAAAACTCAACCCAATCTCAAACAAGAAGCATTGACTGAATTGCCTGATACCATCGAACTGGTTATAGCAGTTATTAGGTGACCTGGGCTGCTGGGCCCTTCACCAGCTCACAGACTCTAGGGGTTAGAAGAAGCTAAAATTTTTTCACATTGATCTTATCCCCTGCCTTTTACTCTTTTCCAAGTATTTATTGAGCACCATTATGTGCCTGCCACTATTTGGGGTGCTGTGGATATGGAGATGAGTAGTGTCTTCTGCCTGCCTGGGGCTCACCATTTAGTGTGTAAGGAAGGTGACACACAAATAAACCAACAACTAGATTTAGATTTAGAGACAGACATATGATCTCAGACAGTCATAAATGCTCTGAAGAAAAAGCAGAATGAAGGGGAAGACAGGAACCCCTATTAAAAAGATGGGGGCTATTATAGTTGGGGTGGTTAGAATAGGAAGCCCTCTTTGAAGGGGCGATGACGGAACCAGAAAGTTAGAATGAGGGAACAGAATCATCAACACAAATAGAGGAATGACAGGGAGACTGGTGTCACTAGGACAGAGCAGGTGAGACAAGAGGTCTCAGAGAAGACAGGGTCAGATCACACAGGGCCTCGGACGCCCTGGAGAGGACTGTGGATTCTACTCTTCTGGATGTGTAAAGTTCTGAGCAGGGATAATTTGGTCATGGTATCCGTATTAAAAGAATCCCCCTGGTCACTATGTAGAGAATGGATTCGGGTCAGAGGTATGTATGGGAGGAAAGAAGAGTCCATGGAC